AAATAGTGGCAAGAATCTCATCTTGAACAGCTAAGAAATTGTCATATGCAAGTAGAATTCAATTGGTTCAGCATGTCATCTTTGGTATTCAAGAAGGACAAATTGTGGATCAAATGGATCCATAGTTGTTACATTAAAGATCAGTCTTTTGTTACTATGAGGATACCGCAAAAGACTTCCTGGATGCTGAAGAAAGTATTTGAAGCAAGAAGTTATGTGGCAGGTATCAATAGCAATCAAGGCAAATAGAAGAAAGTGATCAAGCAAGTATTACATGAAGCTGATAGGAGAGATGCCAAAGATAGCATGGAAGGGTCTAATGAATCAGAATCAGGCCAGGCCAAAAGCAATATTTATATTGTGGTTGCTAATGCATGGTAGACTCCAAGCTGCTGACAGACTGAAGAAATGGAAGATTCAAGTGGATGAAATATGTTGTTTTTGTAAGCAAGCTTTGGAAACAAAGGAGCATATGTTTGCAGAATATGCATATGGCAGAGAATTGTGGAGCAGACTCATGCAATGGATTCAAATGCAAACTAGTCTATCTTCATGGACGAATTTCCACAATAAACGTAAATCCCTCTGATATCATTTGCGAATACAAACTCTTGTTGCACCCCAAAAATGAATTTTTGTTAGAATCATTAGTAGAAATAAGAAAATGATTCTGTCGGTACATTCGAGTAATTAAACGTTTCACAATTAGGAAACTTAATTTATTGTTATAACCTGGATTTTCCAACAAAATCGACCTATTTCTATTTAAACCATGATCATGAGCAAGTGCATAAATATACTCCTGAAAGATAAGTGGATATAGGAAGTTGTGTTGTTACGATCTATCTGGCTGTAAATAGTGGCAACAATGGGTAGTACAGAAGACAAAAGGGAGATCTCAAATGGCTAGAATACTCAAAATGTTAGTTGCAGAATATGTGTATGCATTGTGGATTGAAAGAAACTTAAGAGTCTTTGAGAAAACAGCTACAACATGGGACATCCTCGCAAAAAAGATAGCCTGTGTATGTAGTACGAGAGCTGAGGGGTATACTAAAGTTTTGTTAGCAAAATGTAATTACTTTGATGATTAATACAAGGATTTAATTACCAAAAAAATGGACATCATTTAACTTGGCTTGTAATTACAGACTTGAATTAATGGTTGCAAGAAAATCACAAGAAGTTTTGTCACTACAAAAATCTTGAAGTCACAAAACTACAAGAACAATCTAAGAGTTAAAAAAGTTCACATATCTTTTTTTCTTTTTTAACTATATACCTATTTAATAGGATACTAATTAATAATATTAAATAACCATCTCCTACTTATTATCTTATTCCTTTTTTTTAAAACCTACAAAAATGTTGACTTTTCACTATTTGTTAGATTATTGGGATACTAATTAAAAGGAATTTCCTACTTCTTCTCTTGTTAATTTTTTTTTTTTATCCTAAGGCTCTATTTTTCTTAAAAAAGTAATTTATCAGACATACCTCTTTATAATAACACTTATATATAAAGGCCATTCACATAAAAGTCAAATTTTTCTCAGAATTGATTTTTATGTTATTTTATAATATATGTCCTCTATAACATCACTTCACTAGAGATGGATTTGGATGTAATTACTATTTTATCTATTATAGGGTGCATTAACGGAGGGTAAAAACGACAAATAATATTTTGCGACACTAGCATGCGTGTTTGCTCGCGAGACTCTTTTATGAAATTCAATTTATTTTGCTCCTCAAAAGCCCGCGGGAATGGAGTGGATGCTCCAAGATTTATAGCTTAATGGGGATTGAGATTAGTATTGGAAGCTTTCTTTGATGAAATAAATGTGGCGATAAGGGTGGCATGTGGCCTGTTAGGATCGGGCCCGGTCCAGGACCGCAACCTCATATGGGCGGTGGGCCTAAACGGTCCTAACCGAATAGGACCCGGACCGTGGAGAGGTGGGCTGGGTAGTGGGCCGGTCTTGTGCATTAAGCCCGCGAGATCGGGACCAACTGGGAAGTGGGCCGGTTCAACCGGTCCCAACGGCTCCAAATTAAAAAAAAAATCTGCCCGTTAAGGCATTTAAAAAGTAGCCGCTTGGGCTGCCAAAATAGCCGTTGGCTATTTACAAAATAGTCATTTAACCCTCCCTCCCCCAACTTTATTTTAACCCCAAACTTCTTATAAATACACTTTTCCCTATTTTCAACTATAAATACCCCCTCACTCTTTCATTTTTCCCACCAAATCATCGATCTCTCTCAATCTCTCTCTAATTTTCTTCTATAATTGCTTACTTTATTGTTACAATTTGTGAAAAAATATGAAGTTGGTGATTGGAAAGCTTGGAAAAATCAGTACTTTTCAGAGATTGGATCCGTTCGGAACGAAGAAAGTTTGGACTTGCTGAATCACAACTAGAGGTAGACGAAGCTTACGAAGAAATGCTAGCTGAACTTGTGGAGGATGCTGCTTCGCCCGGATGATGTGATGAACATGCTTCTTTTCTGCCACCACTAGGGCTGTGCATTTGGATCAGATATCCGAAATCCGATCCGATCCACTCTATTTCGGATTTTCGGATTTCGGATTTCGGATTTTCGGATTGGATACGGATTATGTTTTATAAAATTTCGGATTTTCGGATTGGATTCGGATTGGCATGTTTTTAATCCGATCCGATCCGAAATCCGAAATTATATGACCTATATATAAATACTATCCAAAAATTTTAGGGTTAAGTAACCTTATATTCATTTATCAGAGACTGACCCTAGGTTATATCGATGTTGAGTCTCTAGTCTCTTCCGCCTCTCTTCACAGATCTATTCCTCAGTCCTCTCGAACTCGAAGTCTTCATCTCAGTCCGACGCCGACCAAGCTTCCGCCGTCTTCACTCTTCATCTCAGTCCTCTCGAAGTCTCAAGTCAGTGAACTCCAAGTCCTCTCAAGTCTTCACAAACGATTTCCAGTCAAGAGCAGGTGATGTTTCAGTTATCCGGGAAAGTATTTTCTTCATTGTTAAGTGAATATTCAGAAGTGGACTTTAGTTTGCAGAAATCTGGTCAAATAGAACCTCTGATAGAAGTTCAAATGTTAGAAACTTTTGGAATTGAATTCCGGCCTAAAGTTTAGGTCTCATTTGAAATGAAGTTTGCTCTTTATCAAGTTAAAGTGTAAAATTTCTGTTTGAAATTATATTTGTAAACTACACTGTAGTAGAGAACCACCCTGTTGGAAGTATTGGCAATGGTGGCAATGTGACTGCTGTTGGCAAGTTGGGAATTTTAGGCAACTGAGGCAGTGACGGTATTGTTGGCAAGTTTGGAAGTTGCAGTAGGTTGCGAGCTCCATTGCTTGTGTTGATGCTTGATAAGGAAAATAATGCTATGATCAAGAAAAGGATTGAATAGTTGCTAGAAGAAGCCATTCTATTAATTTGATATATTGTTTTGTTTCAAGGAAATGAAGTAGATAATAGAAGTTGGAAATGAATCAATAATTTGATATATTGTTTTCTTGATCATAGCATTAAAAGTAATAGTTTGAGTATACAGATTACAGTATAGAATAAAATCCAACAAAGGATAATTATGCGACAATCCGATCCGACAATCCGAAAAATATCCGATCCAAAGTTTCAAAATCCGATCCTATCCAATGTTAATTCGGATCGGATTCGGATTGCCCTTTTCACAATCCGAAATTCGAAATCCGAATCCGAAATATGCTAAATCCGATCCGATCCGATCCGTGCACAGCCCTAGCCACCACCAACAAAAATTCGTCCGAACCTTGAAGGATTTATGAAATTTGTAAGAGATACCATGTAAATTAATATGTAACTTGTATTTTGGCACATCTTGATTAGTTTCTTTTTCTTCTCAATGGTGGTAGTAGCACCTTGTTGTGCTCATTCCACGGGGGAGGAAGACTAAGAAAGATATTGCCATATTTTATTAATGCTATAATAAAATTATGACGCATTGCTTTGAATATCTCTTTACAATATTTTTTGTGTTTAAATATGAATTAAAAAATTTAGGTCACAATTCTATAAATATAATTTACAAGGAATTGCCTTAGATAAAAATTTGAAAAAAATAAATAGAAAGTATCCGTTGGGCCCACTTAGGCCCACATAGGCCCGGGACCGACCCGCTTAGCCTGGGACCATTAGTTAGTGGTCCCAGTCCCGAGCTGGTTCCTACAAAAAAGCCCAGATAGGCCTGGGACCACTTAGGACCGGCCCACGAAGCCCGGACCCACTTAGGACCGGCCACGAAGCCCATTTAGGACTGGTCCCGGCCCACATTACAGCCCTATGTGGCGATAAGAGTGCAATGTGAGAGCCGTGCTCCAAAAATCATATTCACTCTATAATAAGTTTTAGCCAGTGCTGATCTTTTAATAATCCTAACTTTTTCTCCCCTGTTTTTCTAATAAACTTGAGTCGATATTCGTCTACGAGAGGCATATTTTTTATATATATTTTGAGGTTTTCCAATATAATTGAAAGATATTCAAGTATACGTACACACGAGTCACAATATTTAAATAAAACAACTTAAATATACCATTATTTAGTTATAAATTAAGGAAAAAATGGATATGAATTAACCATAGTTATAATAAAACTATGTACAAAATATACATATCATGTATTTATGTGATTGATGTAAACAAAGGTTTTTTTTCTATAATAGCTCTAGTCACTTAAAACACCTTTTTATAGGAATGCTCAATGGGAAAATGACATTGTGTAGCCGTTGCAAATTTAATAGTAGAATTTTTTTTAAATAAAATTTGTATATATATATATATGTATATTATATACAAAAATATACAAATTTTATACACTTTTTGCATCTGTCATATATAAATAGTTTCAATCACATGCTAAAAATAATATTTACCCATACTCAATTGATTGGAGGCCCAAATTATTAACCCAATAAAAATCCAGCCCAACCTTGCTACGGCCCAATAGATAGAGGGCTTACAAAGTTTAAGTACTTAAACAAAATAATTAGGGTTTATCTGGCTCTCGTCTTCTTCACCGAAGCAGGAAAAACACAGAAAATTCTTACAGCACCAAAATGGTTCGTTTTCCCTATCCTCCATTTCTTCACTTAATCAGTTTTTAGTACATATTGTATCGTAAATGCATCTATTTGTTACTCTTTTAGGCTTGCTGAGGTTTTGTTACACTTTGTTTTTCATGTGTTACAGAACATGGAATTGTATATATAGGCCTAAAACGTATCTATTATAATTTTTTAATTAATGGTTATGTAGAGATCTGAATTTAGCAACAAAAAAAAGTTCAGGCATTTTTTTTCCTGTATTTATTTCATTTTGTTAGTGTATTTTTTTCATGTTTATAGGATAGAGTTACACGGGAATTTTCTCTTAGACCTAAATGTGTGTATTACAGTTTTTTAATTGATGGGTTTGCAGAAAAAAGTGGAACTTTTTGTGAAGGGCTTATTTGGTTTGTTTCGATTTTGCTGTGGTTATTCATGTTATCAAGAAATAGATTACGTGAATTGTTTTTTGATTTAAGGATCTGTATAAAGTTTCATTTGTGTTTTTTCTCTATAGGCCTAATCTTCATTTTTTTTTCATATATGGGTTTAGGCAAAAAAATTCTTGTTTAATATTTTGTAGATGTACTGTAGAGAAATGATGGTTCTAGAAAAAAGTAATTTCTATAGTATTGGACCGAGATGGGTTTAAATGGAGCGACATGGACAATGAGGATTCATATAGCCAACTAATTGAGGCGTAGTAGTAGTGTTTGTAATATTTTGCTTGTGAAACTTTGTGATATTAAATCTACCTGCATGTAGTTTTGTGATAGAGATATGATTTGAAGGTAATAGGATCCTGATCGGTATTTTCATGTATTTGTAATATTTTGCTTGTGAAACTTCATGTGATATTAAATCTACCTGCATGTAGTTTTGTGATAGAGATGTGATTTGAAGGTAATAGTTTCCTGATCGGTATTTTTACGTTTGATTGTCTTGGTATTGTACTCAGTTCAATTGCCCTTTTCCTGAGATTTTCGGGAAGATCAAAGAGATGAGTGTTTATATGGGGTTTAGACCTGTCCTGTACTCCTGTACATGATTTACATAACTTAATTTATAGTTTTAAAATGGGTTTAGCCATTCAATGGTTCGGGCACTATAATTCTGTCCCTTCGGTAAGGCTCGTCAATTCTGCAAACCTTGAATATATGAAAGAGTATTCTTTCTTGAGATAATTTGCTGTGGTTCGTGTCTAGTTATATATGAAAGCATACCCTGCAATGCTTTACATTGTGGAAATGTATTGCTTGATTTATTTACTGAACGTGGGTTTACATTTATGTGCAGGCTAGAGGGTTGAAGAAACATCTGAAGAGGCTCAATGCCCCGAAACATTGGATGCTTGATAAGCTTGGTGGAGCATTTGTAAGTTAACCCTCTTGGTCATAGTCTTTTCTATGTAGTATCAGATGATTTGGGGCTGTATTAGCTGAACATTTTTCTGTTTTTCTTCTATAGGCTCCCAAGCCATCCTCTGGTCCACACAAATCAAGGGAATGCTTGCCGTTGATCATTATCTTGCGAAACAGGTTGAAATATGCTCTCACATACAGAGAGGTGATCTCAATTTTGATGCAACGTCAAGTTATGGTTGACTCCAAAGTTAGGACGGATAAGACTTATCCAGCTGGTTTCATGGGTAAATTCACTTTATCTGCATCTTCTGTTGGTTTGGTATCTTTTTCTTATACTCCTTTCATTCCATCTTATATGAAAGTCTTTTTCTGTTTACAGTGTTTGAACATCTGATTTATGTATTATATTGAGACACTGAAAAAAAATATTGATACAATGGTTGAAAAGTTAGTTTTATAGTGAAAACATCACACTAAAGTTTAATTTCTTTATATATCTAAATGAATTTAAATTCTTAAAGTTGTGTAGAAAAGAGAATTGTTTCTCAAAAAGGAAAGAGTGTCGTATAAATTAGAGTTGAGGGAATCTGATGGATGTGTGAATCTTCAAATCAAGGGTGGTCAATTTGTCAAAAGAAGTCTGTGATTCAAGAACCAAATGGCGTTTGTTGTATTTCTTTCCATTGTAGTATGCCTGGTTGAGCTCATTGACAGTGAATAATGCTATTTTCTGTACACAGATGTGGTTTCAATTCCGAAGACTAATGAAAACTTCCGCCTCCTTTATGACACCAAGGGCCGATTCCGTCTTCACTCAGTCAGAGACGAGGAAGCCAAGGTAGCTTAATATTCTAACTTTTTGCTTTTGTGACGAATTTATGTGTTAGATTCTTTTCTGTCCCCTAAATGTTTATTAGTGTTAAACTGCTCTTATTTGATTTTTTTTCTTTGGCAGTTTAAGCTTTGCAAGGTCCGCTCTATTCAGTTTGGCCAGAAGGGAATTCCATACCTGAACACTTACGACGGAAGAACAATCCGCTATCCTGATCCTCTCATCAAAGCCAACGATACCATAAAGCTGGACCTGGAATCCAATAAGATTGTCGATTTCATCAAGTTTGACGTCGGGAATGTTGTGATGGTTACTGGAGGTAGAAACAGGGGACGTGTTGGCGTTATTAAGAACAGGGAGAAGCATAAGGGTAGCTTCGAGACTGTCCACATTCAGGATGCGTTGGGGCATGAATTTGCTACCCGTTTGGGAAATGTGTTCACTCTTGGAAAGGGTACTAAACCATGGGTTTCACTACCTAAAGGTAAAGGTATTAAGTTGTCCATCATCGAGGAGGCACGGAAAAGGCTGGCCGCTCAATCAGCAACCACTGCTTAAAACTTCTTGGTTGTTTCATCCACCGTTCAAGTCAATTTCACGCTGTTGGAGTGTAGACGGAGTTAAGTTTTGCAGTTTTGAGTTTAAATGTTTCGGTTTGTTTAGCAATACCTATTTTATTCTGCGACCTGCCCTTTGAATATTTGTTTACTTGGTAGTTGATACTTGTATGGCTGGCATTTTGATGAGATAAAATGATTAGACTCCTTTATGGATCAAATCTTGTTCTTTTGGTATGTGCTTTGCTGTGACCAGGTTTTAAGAGATTTTGATAGCCCTGATACTGATTTATTAGCCCCCGCCCTCTCCCTCTCTCTCATTTATGAGTACTTGCTACCTTCTCATCAGCAGAGGTGCTGGTCTGTTGGATAGCCGGGTAACTTTGTCCATCAAGGTTTAGGACATAGGTCATTCCGAGTGCACGGAATACTCTCTTTGGTCTGCTGATTTCTGCTATGAGCTGCATTGAAAATGGTTGATTCGACTTGGTTTACAACTTTTTACATTCTTGTTTAGTTGTTTCTTTTCACATCGTTTTGGTGTATAATATGCATGACTAGAGAGTAGAAGCTAAATGGATTTTGGTAGGGATTATCAAAATAAATTTGGTAAGTATCTCTTATAGGTTTTGTTTTAGGCCTTCCAATCTCATTTCATTATATGCCAGCCCTGATTCTGTTAGCTCGTTTATCTCACATTAGTAATTCATGTACACAATCTCAGAACAAACTCTTTTGTTGGGTATTGAAACAAAACGTAATAACAGCTAAAGCCTGTAATAATGCAGTTGGATCTCATGACATTGTTAAAATTATGAAAGTTATGTGGAACAGTTTACCTTTAGTAACTAGTGTCAAACATATGTTTTGATATAATGTGTGCTTGCTCAAGCTTTATCAGTTTTTACTTAGCTCCCGTTTGGCCATAGATTTTGGCAACTTTTTTTCAAATCTTTTTTGAAAACATTGTTTGTTTATAGATTAATGATCTATTTCTGAAAAATTTCTGAAATTATTTTTCAAGTTCCCAAAATCTAGTTTAGGGTAGTTTTTGGGTGGAACTTATTCTCCCACTCACAAAGCTTCAAATTTTTTTCAAATAAAATGCATGTCCAAACATAATTTCAACTTCCAAAAATTATTTTTCAAAACTACTTCAAAAATTATTTTTTCAAGTTTTAACTAAGTCGATGTCCAAACGCTAGCTTAGATACTTGAGATGGTAAATAATTTGCTCGTTTGAAATGTTTTTGGAATGGGAGTTAACTTTAAACATGAAATTACCTCACTACTCGCATTAAGGTTGTAATTATGTTTTCATTTTGTCTATGATCACGATGATGTATTCTGGTATTCTTTTCAGTTTTCACCTTTCAAGTGTGATTCCATAGTTTGTCATACATTGAACACACAATCAAGTTTGCTTAAATTTCGTGACCCCCGAAGGGGATGTCTTGGCGGAATGTCCCTATTTTTTAAAGCTTGAAATTCTTGTTTGATGGTGGAAAATAAAAGTTAATGATCAATTTATTGTTAAAAAATGTTTGAATGTTGATAATTTGTGCTTAAACTTTTTAGTCCACACAAAATTTTTGGTGATTTATTGTAAAAATCTCAAAACTCCATTGTTGGACCTTAGAAAGTATTGAAGAAGGCAAAGTAGGTCTTTTTGATTTGGTGTTATTTCACTAAATTGGTGATTGGGAGTTATTTGTATCGGTATTTGGAAGCTTTGTTTCAAATATGAGATCATTTGGAGCAGGATTGGGGTGGTTTGATTGAAATTAAAGTTACAAATTCGAAGAACAATTTGTTAAAATAACCCATAAAAGTATGCCAATCCAGTAGATTTCGATGAAATACTTAACATATAGGTATACAAAATATAACATCAACTCTACTGACCGAGAAGAGAAATCCTTGAATAGCAAAAGTATAATAATCTGGTAGACGTCAATGAATACCTTAACAGATAAATAGAGTAATAATAACATCAACTATATCAGGTTGGTAGAGCAATCTTGAGAAGCAAAAGATACAATTCGGTAGACTTCGATAAACAATTTAATCCGGTAGAAAAATTTCTGAAGAACTTGTGCGAGTCCACGGTCATTTTCTTAATACTACAAATTTTGAGGACATTCCGCTAGGTTATCCCAGAAAGTCCCTTTTCTGTAAATCTCAACATATATCTTTGGGTTTGAAATGGTCCAAATTTGTCCATATTATATTCAAAATTACTCAACTTTCACTCTCCTTTATACTTTTGTTCCATTCAAAGCTTTACTAGTAGTACATCATCTTATAATTGCACTTAGGGGTGACAAATAGGCGGGTTGAGCTGAATTTGGGCGGGTCAAGATGGGTTAGGTCAATAAATGGGTCATTGCCCAACCTAACCCAAAGTGTACTTGGCTATGATGGGCTGGGTCAAGATGGGCTAAACAATGGGTCATAAGCCAACCCGCCCAACTTGACCCATGTTTTAGAATCATGCTCATCTTGCATAAAAAAATCTTTTACCTTAAAATGTGTAAGTTGAAAAATATTTTGCGGGTTGGAGTGGCTGGGAAAAACGAAAAAACAAAAAATTGAAAAAAATACAAAAGAAAAAAAATTGAGGCGGTTTGCGCGGAGGGGGAGGGGGGTAGGGAGTAGGGGTGGGGGTAGGGGTAGAGTGGTACAGAAAAACAACAACAACAACAACAACAACAACAACAACAACCCAGCAAAATCCCACTACTGGGGTCTGGGGAGGGTAGTGTGTACGTAGACCTTACCCCTACCCCGAAAGAGTAGAGAGACTGTTTCCAAAAGACCCTCGGCTCAAGAAAACAAAAAGACAAAAGGAGACAATATTAGTATCAGCAGAGAAATCATTTGAAAAACAGGAACATGAAATTCAGAAGAAAGATGCAAAGCAAAAGCGATAGCTAGTAAATAGTTCCTGCGCTGAAAAGTGAAATAGTAAGACTCAACATTGCCACTAACTATCTTAGACAAAAACCCTACCAGACTGGTCTCGGAGTGGTACAAAGTAAGGAAAGACTCAAACTACCTCCTAACCTACAACCCTAATACTCGACCTCCACAACTCCCTATCCAGAAAAACAAAAGAACAGAAAATTAAAAATACAAAAATAAATAAATAAATTAATTGGGGCAACTAAGTAAATTTCTAGATAAGTTGGGTTGAAATACTTTGTTTTGATTGAGTTTAATAGGTTGTATTTGGGTGCTTAATGGATCAGAATGGGCTATAAAAAATAATGGGTTAACTTTGGCTCAGCCCAAATTGACCCATGAGCTAAAATATTTGTAGCCCAACCCATTAATCACTGAACGGGTTGGACGAGTTGGATGGGTTTGGGCACAAATTACCACCCCTACTTGCACTAGCATGAAGCTCTAACGTAAATAGGTAAACGCGACGTATTCAAATTCTGTGAAAAGGTCTCAAATTTATCCTTCAACTTTTGACAAGAAAATTTGAAGTAAATGTTGCGTTAGTTATAAAAGACAAAATGAAACTTTTTGTTAACGACTAAAAATTATCACACCCAAATTTGACGGAGGACCATAATTGCTATGTCATTGAGTTACGACGGTAAATTTGAACCTTTTTCCTTTCGTAATAACTAAACTTTAATTTGAACCTTGACTACTTCTATAATTATCCGTTTGCTTATAAAAGATGAACGCTGAAATCATGCAAGGTTGAAACGTACAAATCTCTAAGTTTGCGTTTGCAAAGTTATCCAAATAAAAGTTCATCATTTATGGATAGAACAAAAAGAACGGACTCGGAATTTGAAACGCAAGAAGGTAGGGGCATTTGCATCTATACTCGCTTTTTGTGCCACATTTTAACCTGTGCCCGCTTTGCAAAAAAAATTGCAAGCGTACCCGCTTTTTCACATAACTTCAGCACACGGGGCTGAAGTAGCAAAGACAATTACACAAAACTTCAGCATTTTAGTAGCCGGGCCTGAAGTTCAGCTCTAGAGCTGAAGTTTGCCAGTTATAAAATAAAAAACTTCAGCTCTAGAGCTGAAGTTTTATTTTATAAGTTTTTGTTTAGTAACCGGGAAACTTCAGCTCTTGCCAGTTATAAAATAAAAACTTCAGCTCTAGCCCGGAAACTTCAGCTCTAGAGCTGAAGTTTTTCAGTTAAAAAATAAAAACTTCAGCTCTTAGTAACCCGAAAACTTCAACTCTAGAGCTGAAGTTTTCAAGTTATAAAATAAAAACTTCAGCTCTAGAGCTGAAGTTTGCCAGTTATAAAATAAAAACTTCAGCTCTAGAGCTGGAGTTTTTGTTTAGTAACCCGGAAACTTCAGTTATAAAGGGAAGCTGAATTTTTTTAAAAAGTGGGTACGAATGCAAACAAAAAGACAAAGCGGCTACAGGTTAAAAAGGGGCGCCCAAAGTGCAATTTTTACAAGAGGGTAGCCATTATTAGTATTTAGTACAAGCTTGCCAAAATCACCATTACTACACGTACTACAAGAAAAATCTCAATAGCAGAACGTTGGCTCAACTGTCGGGCATTTCGAGCATCTTTTCAAAAGAATATCCCATCACTGCAGCTGTGGGCTTGGTTTTCCTAGGGAAAGGAAAACACACCCTCCTCCTTCTACTTCGTCGACCAATCTCTACTTCCGTGATAATTGGACCCATTTTATTCTTGAAGCAAAGAACCAAACCAAGTACACCATTATAAACAGATCGACCACTAAGACGCTAGTAATACCGCCCACTCCGGATAGACTCCTATAGCCGGGTTATTCAGTATCAAAGCTCAACATGAGGGGACTTAGCACCTCCACGGTCCATGCTTCTTCAAAGGCTACTCGGGTCGATAAAATCATTCAAATTGTTATGTCGGTGCACCCTTAGGAACATCAAATTAGCTCCTGGACATCTCATCCAGCTAAGTCGTCCTTATCAAATACACAAGCTATAACAGTCTACTTCTCCGTTCCCACCATAAGTTTCCAAGTCAATACCATTGTGACTACGGGAAGCTCGGTCAACAAACAACAGTCTACCATCACCACAATTTTATGAAATGTAAAACCATAAAAGAGAAGTGGATAGAGAGGAAGAGACAATCCTGAATCTCAAACTCCTTCACTCCATTCTGAACTTGTAAAAAATGCAAGACTAACCACAATCTGATTCTTTTCTCTACCAAGAATGCCATGGTATTGAGGACCCAGCTCAGCAATCTCAAAAGATATAAGAAGATTCTTTGTACTGGCTAAAATAGGCTGATTCTAAACTAGATGGTCATTTCTGACCTGGACATTAGCTATAACCATAGAAATGATAATTATAGCTCGAAAAAATTTATGTGCTAGATGCACCTAAAACATCACATTCGGCACCATGTGAAGATGCCAGCATGTGCAAGCACACACATGCAAAAACATTATCAATCAGCTGAATTAATGGAGCATTTTAGATTTTTCAAAGAAGCAACACTCACCTGAACATTTCAACCTACCTTAGCAGCATTTTGCAGAACATCCACTCGCCTCTATAAAAACATTCACATAATAGCTCACATTAATCAAGGTTTCAAACTAGGGAAACCCCTTAAAGTAGCAGACAGCAAGGAGGAAAAGGGTATTGCTCAGAGTGAGTGAACAACCTACCTCTTTGTCTCCAGCTAAGGGAGTATATCTTGGAATGGAACTATTTAAAAAACCCTCCCACCACATATTTTTAGTACATAGATTGTCTGGTTGAATTTCAGTAAGGACGTGAACGGTTTCCACCATGAAAATTTCGGTCTGGACCAGAACCATAGTTATCTCTGCACCGGTCACCACCATATCCGCCTCGACCACGGCCCCTATCGATCAATAAAAAAAGTCAGCATAAAGGATCCACGTAACCATCTTCTTAGAGATATTTTACTCTCTAGGCGGACACAAATATGCACCCTCAGAGTTCACAATAAATAATTAATTCCCTCACATTATCTAACCCATAAACAGAATGAAACCACCAGACCAATAGATTAGACATTTTCCCACTTTAAGCTAAAATTTAAGAAATTAATAACGAGCACAAAGTGATATTACGTTGGAGAGTGGTTACAAGAGGCTAGAGAAGGAACCAGGGGAGCGGTTAAAGCTGATAGCAACACGTTAGGATGCTGCCAAAAGCTTCGGGATCACCAATAAGGAGTGTTTGTAGGTGCAAACAGGCTGAGGTTTAAATGGATAAAACGTTTGAAAACACTCGGTATAGGAAGTATTATAAATAATACGGCACACTCTCAACTTGATACTTCCAGTTTAATCCATGGTGATGAACATATTCTGTGAGACTAAGGGGGTTAAAACCAGTTCGGTGTGACCTGCACCTAAGCATAATGTTAAAAACATCATTTTTATAGCAGCTAGGGCTTAAAATCAAACTTGACTGTTTGAAAAAAGAATTGAACTCCACTATAGAATCTAAAAAAAAAAAGGAATTCTCATGTAGGTTGGCGCATTCATCCAGGAGCGGTCACCAGCCGTTATAAGATCACTAGTAAACTAAAGTGAACATATGCAAATAATGCTTGTAACATTAATTAGAAAAAAGTATCTAGATGTAAACTTTCACTGCAAGTAATACAAAAGACAATCATTACTGGTAATAAAGACATCCATGATTGCTCAATCTTGCAAATTCTTCAAAAAATATAAAAAAATGATCGTTTAAAAAGTTAAGCCGCTTAGGCTTTGTCAAGGCTAATATGAAAGAATTATGGTTTAGAAGGCATACTGGTTCAACCAGCTGGAAATAATTATGGTCCTCACCACACATAAGTATACTACAGCAATGGTCCAAAACCCCAACCACTAGCAGAGTACTTAGATAAGAGCAAAAAAGATAGTACAAAAACCAAACCACTGGCGGTTTCCACCAAGTAGAGACAATTACAGATCGATCAAACTGTACCAACTAGCAAGTAGACAATCCCATAATCTCATTAAAGACGTGTTAACTCTGCATACATGCCAAGGCATAACTTCAAAGATATATGTGCACTTTTAACATAAGTGAGGAACAACAGCAAAAGCTGGAAGTTACGTGAAATGAAAGTAATTAATTCAAAAGAAGATTGATCAAAGGATAACACCATATGACTTACCCAGAACCATATGCTGAAGGATCCTTTGGTGCAGACTTCTCAGCCATTGCAACACTGATCTTATAACCTCTGAAGTCATAATCTGGTAAACATATTCATGGTTAGCAGGTAAGGTATTTACTGCATAAGGTCAAAAAAATCAATAATCGTTCTAGTTTTTTACTATTAAAAAAGCCTCCAGCTGAGTGCGCTGCAGAAGGATCTTCATATGACAATACTGCATCTCCTTTGTTATTTCCTTTTTCATCTGTATATATCTTTATGCTCCAAGGCCACTGGTCTTTGTAACCTCGTTTTTGCTTGATTCTTGCCACCTACAGATTAATGAGGAAGTAATTAAGCCTCATTCCAAGGCATAGACTACCAGCTAGTCACAAAAATCTATCACTTCTTCTGATGATAAAGCCAAGGCAATATTTCTACGATCAGTAAAAGACAAAACATCAGAATACTAAGTATGATATGTTATCTTCATGCTCCAAGAACCAATACCACAATGAACAACATGGAGTTGTGAAATAAAGAAAAATAATGTACTGCTAGCAGTAAAAAATAAATCTGAAACGGAAATCATAACCAAAAGAAATTTCATATTACTTGTCCAATGCTTCCAAAAAGCTCTTGGAGTTCTTCAATGGTGACATCAGGGGGCAAATTTGAGATGTATATTCTTGAGTTGTCACAAGAATCTCCACAATGCTCATCACACTGCTTGACCTTCGCTGGAGCCTCAGCACTGCCATGACTACCTACTTCTTTTCGAGGACCACCACCATATCCCCCATCATATCCTCCTTGTGGGCCACCCCGACCATCACCACGTGCATCAGATTGTATATTCCGACCATAGCCAACAGCACTAGCATGTGAAGGGGGATATGATGGAGGCGCACCACTGTAACTTGCTGGCGGAGGAACTGCATCAGGGGCATCGTCTGAGTTGCCACCGTAAGTATTGGACGGTGGTGGATAGCTGCTATCAGGGCCTCCATAAGATGGACGAGCAGCTGGAGGACCCTGACCATAACCACCATCAGCTCTTCCCTGATTACCAGCATACGAGTCATTCCTATTGCTTCCTCCACTCCCTCTATCATAATTATCACCCCTTCCCCCTCGATTATTTCCATATCCCCCACCACTTCCACCTCTACCATAACCGCTACCACCTCTGCTACCACGATCATCATTACCCCCAGGCGAAGGTGCACCACATTTATTACACTCAACTCTTCTAGCAAAGTTCAAGTTCCCACAACTACATTCAAATATGCCATAATTAGTAATTTCAGACAGGAAATTAAAACAGCTATTATTTCATAGTTCAAATGAGATACTTAATAGCTAATTAAACCCAAGAGAATATAACTTTCATACTAATACTTCACAAAACTCCATAGAAATTGAGAACACATCAAGCTGGATTCAATTTCGATCATCAATTCACAAAATGCTGTTTTTCATAGAATGATATGGGCATAAGTAGAGCTTGTAATGAAGACAAAGACAATCAAAACAAATTTGCACTGAACTTTGAAAAGCATAGCCACTTGTTGTCTTTAGGCAGATATAATGTGGATTGTGGATATAAAACCAATCACACCCAATGTTCAAGAATCCCTTTGTTAATCATTTTTTTCATGACTTAGAACCCATCTGGGGTTAACCCTAAAGGACCAACCGCAGCCCTCAAAAATCGGCAAATTTGTTCCATTTCGCATAGTTCATGGGCAAATTTGACCCTTTACCCTTGTTTTCAACTAAAAAGAATTGTTCGTAACGAACTGATATGACATTGGAATTTGAATTAAAATGAAGTACCAACTTCTTAACCTCTTATATACACTCCTATATTGACACATAAAATCAATGTTCCGCAACTTCCACTCATTATGCAGCAATAAGAATTGCAATTTTCTTGCCAATTACTATCTTAAATTTCTTTTGTGTATTTCAAGCATACGATGTTGAGATTTACATGAATATGCATGGCACTATCTTGAACATATTAGCGATGGCGAGAGGAAGACCATGAAAACAAACGTCTCAAGACATATATTGAATTCAAACCTTCTAAAACTAAATTCTCTTTTAGCTTCTTAAGATTTATTGTTCATAATTGATTAACTTGCTCTAAATGATTCTCTTAATTAATCTTCATTACACTTCTATTATTTTCAGCTTTAATTTTTTTAAATTTAATTTGAAACTATGTCCAGTATGCTTTAGCTCCATGATACTTATTTTTGGCAGCAGGAAAAACAAACTCATTCTCTTTTAGCTTCTTAAGATTTATTGTTCATAATTGATTAACTTGCTCTAAATGATTCTCTTAATTAATCTTCATTACACTTCTATTATTTTCAGCTTTAATTTTTTTAAATTTAATTTGAAACTATGTCCAGTATGCTTTAGCTCCATGATACTTATTTTTGGCAGCAGGAAAAACAAACTCACCACCATCAGATATCCTTGGTAGCTTTTAATTTGTAGATTGTTTCTTTAAAATTATTCGATGAGCTATGTAATTTATTTATGTAGGAATAACTTTAATAATAGAAGTCTTTTAGTTAGATCCTGTTTTCATCTTGCAACTATTTATAATATACATGTATAAAGGAATCTCCATGTAGTAGCATGTGAAATACTTCGATGACCAATCAAGTTAATTACCGCAAAGATCTATAACTTCTTTTCTTTGCTTTGCTCTGGTTGTATTTGATGATTTACGATACAACAATTGAAGAAAGTACAAGGAAACATGCAGATATTTAATGTGATTTTCTAGGCTGTTTAGGTGTATCAGTGTTGCACAGAATAGATTTTCAATTTCAAGGTTATTATTCATGTTGAGTATTGGGAAGTGTCAGCATTAACTGTAAAATGCTTCTTTGAGGGTTCTTTGAATTGATTAAACTGAAGATTCATGCAACAAGAATAAAAGTCAAAGTTGCACAATCTTTGAAGTCAATGATTTTACAACTTTAACTTTTCTCAGAAATTAATTTTACCCTTTTTCAGAGTTTTTTTTCCTTCTAAAAATAAGATCAGTTAGGAGTTGGGACTAAAGATTGCTCAACCATCCAATCCAATTTTTTGTTGAATAGCTAAACCTAAAAATATGTAGAGTCTCCTTTCCTTTCTATTTTTTGGGTTCAAGTTTTATGATGGGGTTCATGTTCCTTCCTTCTGCTTTGAAAGTAACTGAGCAAATGAACTCTGCTTTAAGCTTAACTCGTGGAATCCCCTAACCTAAGTCACTCGCCTTCAATTCAATATACACTAAACAAAAGGCAAAAATAAACTTGAGCATGCAGAAGCAATGGGTTAAAAATGGTTTTCATTTCGTTTTTTAAAAGATGGGAAACAATTATAAACGCAAGGTTTGAAAATGAATTTAGGGTTAATTGAACGCAGACTCACTTTCTCTAAATGTGAGGTACATTTTGCTATTGGGTAATGCTTGCAGGTTACATTTTTAGCATGTTTTTAATTAATAGGAGCATTTGGAAATTTTTGAAAAATATGATCGATAATTTGATAATGGAAGTAACAAAAAGAAAAGGAACAAATTATAAATCAAAGTTACTCTATGACTATATGATGCGCCTCCTTTAATTTATAGAGATTTTCTTGTTAGGTACATTTTATTGAGAAAACAATACAACAATTGAAATTTTGTTAAAGCAATATGATTTAATATTCTTAAGGAAGCAATATGATGACATAGTCCTGATTGACGAGACGAGAGACGGAGTTAACGCTAGGTCGGAAGTTTGGAGACAGACGCTGGAGTCTAAGGGTTTCAAGTTGAGTAGGTCAAAAACTGTGTACTTGGAGTGCAAGTTCAGTGATGGGATGCAATGCATGAAGAAGGAGTGGAAGTGAATATTGGTACTCAAGTCGTCCCCAAAAGAGATAGTTTCAAGTATCTAGGGTCTATTATTCAAGGCAACGGAGATTGACGAGGATGTTACTCATCGTATTGGAGCGGGGTGGATGAGATGGAGGCTCGCCTCGGGGGTTTTTGTGTGATAAGAATGTGCCACCTGAACTTAAAGGCAAGTTCTACAGAGTAGTGGTTAGACCGACTATGTTGTATGAGGCTGAGTGCTGGCCCGTCAAGAAGTCCCATGTCCAGAAGTTGAAAGTAGCCGAAATGAGGATGTGGAGATGGAGATGTGGACATACCCGGAAGGACGTGATTAGGAATGAAGTTATTAGAGATAAGGTACGAGTGTCACCTGTGGAGGACAAGTTACGGGAATCGAGGCTGAGATGGTTCGGATATGAAGAGAAGAGACACAGATGCTCAGGTCAAGAGGTGTGAGAGGTTGTCCATGGCCTGTTTGAGAAAGGGAATGGGTCGACCTAAGAAGTATTGGGAAGAGGTAATTAGGCAAGACGTGTCATTGCTCCAGCTTACCGAGGATATGGCCCATGATAGAAAGGAGCGGAGGTCGAGAATCAGTGTTGTAGGTTGACAAATAGTGGCTTACCGGTAGAACTAGAACTATTTTTGTATTTTATTCATGGTTCTTTACTAATATTTGCTGCGTCATTCGCGTGGTTACCATAAAATATTGTTGTTACTATTGCTTGCTACTTGTTGCTTTATTTACATTGTTGCTTGAGCCGAGGGTCTATCGGAAACAGCCTCTCTATCTCTATAAGGTAGGGGTAAGGTCTGCGTACACACTGCCCTCCCCAGACCCCATTTTTGTTGTTGCTGTTGTTCTTAAGGAAGCTAAATAACATATTTGACATCATTAATATTCTTTAATATTGTCCGCATGCGATGCGTAGGTTCTAATACTAGTTGATGATAATAAGCAGAAACTCCAAAAGAATCAAGAAGGATACTGAAAACCTTACCTTGGATTAGGGCAACGCCAATCACCATCCCTCCCACTTCCTCCACTGCGACCACCACCTCTTCCACCGCTACCACCACGATCTCCTCCTTGATATCCACCACCACCTGTCAATTTCGACATATATGGATAAGAAACCATTCTCAATATAGACCAGTTCATGAGTTTAAGTTCTACGGGTATACTATAAGGTATTAGGGGTAAATCTCTTGATAAACATTAATTAGTAATCTCATAAATGTACAAAATAACATGTATATCGGGGTGGATGTAGCCTTTCGGCGCCAGGATCCGACACGGAGCATAAAATCTCATTACACTGCAACAAATTTTAGATTTGAACCCATAATTTTTAAAATATAGTGAGTTCAATGCTAGAAACCATTGAGGTTGAACCCATTAATCTTAAATCCCGGACACGCCTCTGCATGTATATATCTCATGATAACTTATTAAACTCATAATTTATATCTTATGATAATTTATTCTACAAAATCTGGAACAAGGATAGTCTAGTACCCTGATTACGGGAACCACCACCACCATATCCTCCACTTCCTCTTCCACCGCCTCTATCACTGTTACCATATCCTCCAGTGCTGCCTCCGTAACTAGCCCCTCCCGCACCATATCTTCCACCACCTGTTCCACCATATCCCCCTCTGCTGCCCGATCCACCATATCCCCCTCCGTTGCCTGATCCACCATATCCCCCTCTGTTGCCCGATGCATATCCACCTCCTCCAGGACCACCGTATCCACTGCCTTCAAAACCACCGTGTCCACCGACACCGGAGCCACCATATCCTCCGCCGCCGGAACTATCATATCCACCAGTGCCTCCTGAACCACCGTATCCACCAGTGCCTCCCGAGCCACCGTATCCACCAGTGCCTGAGCCGCCGTATCCATCACCGCCAGAGCCTCCGTATCCTCCGTCAGTAGGCGGCGGGTCAGATACGCCGCCGTCGTGCCCGTAATTACCAGCCATCGTCCACGGCTTTTCTTACGACAAGTATCTGAATGATAGAAACGAGAGATCACGTGAAAGGCCGGGTCGAGCTCGAGTTATATATTGCTGAGTTTGGTACAGTGAAAGAGGAGATTTTTTCCCGTGGGTAGTAGAACCACCTGGAGGCGTGGTCTTTTTCTTTTCTTTTTGACTCAGAAACACTTGATATCTCTCTGTAACCCTTTCATTTCACAGGCCCTCAATTAGACACATTAATTTGTACAAAACCATGTTTTAAATATTTCTAGTGCGGATGTGAATTCAAGATTTGAAGTACATGAATGGCGACGAAGATCTCAAATTAATATATAACGTAATAACTAAATTTATAGTAAAATATTATTAGATAATTAGTGTATTTATTAAAATAGATATAGAGTGTGAGTAAAAGTTATTGATTTTACGTGAATTCATACGTTATATGATAGATCCGTCTTTGTTCTTAACGGTTGATCATACTTAATACTTCCTGTTTAATCAAAAAGTATTAACTTTCGGTTAAACTATTATATTTTAAGTAATGAAGGGTTAAACCTAGTTAATGATAATATCTCTCTAGATATAGTAGATCTTGAAAGCACGGATAACGTGGGATCGAGTTAGTAGGAAATTGACAGTAATATACATTTAATATTTCAAAGGGTAGGAGCAGTAACGAAGGAGTAACTAGCAATAAAAAACAATAAATGACATTTAAATAAACTAGTTTCTCGAAATGTGCGTTGCACGTTTATCTTAGTTTATTATTATAAAATTCATTTTGCAAAATATTGAATTTTAATTATATAAATATTTTAAGATTCTTGTTTGATTTATAAAAGCATGTAGACATATTTATTTGCTAATCAATATTTGTTTTACAATCGTCTCCATGATTAAGATTATCTCATGATTTCATGTATTACGATCACAAGTGGCCGATAGCAACAAGAGTGAGAATAAGGATGAAACTGTTTACAAAATAACATGTTTGGAAAAGATGCTAAAATCACATTTCGTGACAAAAACATAAGTAAAGGCTCGAAAACACATCAAGTAAGAAAATTAAGGCTAACAACAACCCAAAAAGAAATATTTACTGATTTATAGAATGCATTAGTAACTGCAAAAGGTAGAGATAAAAATTATATCAACTGTAAAAGGCATGAAACCTCGTGCAAATAACTAAAATAAAGGCTACAACACAGATAAAAGATTTGTTAAGTTATAGAAATCAAATAAATGTGAAGTCAAGTTCCCTACAACAAAACTGTTGCTAAAAGAAATCTAATATTGTAGAGGTTCACGACAGAAAAATAATCAAGAAGTATTCTCTCAATCCGAATTTATATGATACTCTTTTTTTAGTCGTCTTAAGAAATGAAATCTTTTTATTTTAGTAACGATTTAACTTTAAATCTTTTATTACCCTTAGTGAGATGATCAATTTAGAAGCTACAAAAATTCCTATAGCTTATATTAGACCGTAAATTTCAAAAGTGTTCTATTTTTTTATTAAAATCAGTGCTCAGTTAAACACTTTCACATAAATTGAAATGAAGAAAATATTAAAAATAACTAAAATAATGCGAGCAAATAAAACTCCAGAGCCACAAAAATTGCTATGAAATAAAAGTAAATGAAGATACCAAAAAATAATGTTTGTCAAAGGAAATTCTAATTTTTAGAAGGTTTCATAAAAAATGTACTACAAATATATACCAAATTAATTAAACACTAAAAATATATGATCGGGTGGGAATCAAAGAACATGAAAAGCAAACTTGCAATATGAGACAGACAAGTATTATACAACGTTTTTTCTCTCTTCAAATTCTTTTTACATTTGAGATAGACATAAAGGTTTCTTTACGGAGAATGGTTTGATTTACAATCAAGCAAGTTTTCGGCAAATGATTAATATTGAACCAGTTAATAAATATAAAGGACACATCCATTCGGTTTGGGGTGTTTTGCAAGGTAGTTTTTTTTTTCTTTTTTCTTTTTTAACTAAAAATGATAATTAAATTATTTAGAAGGGTATTTAGGTAATTTAACTTTTAAGTTAGGGAGTTCATGCTTTTAATATAGTATAGATAGATATAAATAGGAGGAGTGATTCACCCAATAATGAATGAACTAGATCATTGTTCCTCCTCAGAATGATGAGTGACAGATAAGTTGTCACGACCCAAACCCGCTCCGGTCGTGATGGCGCCTCTCGTGAAGACAAGGCCAGCCAACCAATACATTTCGCCCTTTCAGAATAGTTAATGTTAATAAACAGTTTTTGCACAATTAAATAACCACAGTTTAAACAAAAGTTTTCTTTATTAAGTGCGAAATACAACCCAAACACAGCCCAAACCGGGGTGTCACAAGTCACGAGCATCTATCAGAGTATAAATACAACTACAAGGCCTAAAATATACAAAAGAGGATTGATAAACATAAGGAAGAAATTCAGTGCTGCGAACGCTAGCAGTCACCTCGCTAAACTCCGATAAACTTAGCCTCCGATCAGCTCAAAACCCGCTACCGGGTGAACAAATACCTGCATCTGCACACGAGGTGCAGGGAGTAAAGTGAGTACTCCAACTCAGTGAGTAATAAAGGTAAATAATAACTAAGCAGTAAGAAATCACATAAAAAAACCATCATGCTGTATAGAGCAGTGTAAAACCCTTTGAGAAAAGCAGTGAAACAGTGAAATCTTTAGAAAAACATCTTAGCTCAGTTTAAACCTCTTTTGGAAATGACTTTTTCAGCGGTTACGCAAATGAATGCAAAACAAACAGTGCGGATAAGCACAGAAAATCCGCCCCTCGGGCACAACACTCAGTTATCAGGTAATGGCAGGCAATCAGGTAGATATTGCATGAAGTAGCACAGACAACAGACAATGGCAGACAAATGAAATAAAGTAAACACATAGAACAATACCAGTACCGCTGCGGTGTGCAGCCCGATCCACATATCGCTGCGGCGTGCAGCCCGATCCATTTATTGTCGACGGCGCTCACTGGGGGTGTGCAGACTCCGGGAGGGGCCCCTTACGGCCCAAGCGCAATATCAAGCCATCTCGTGGCATCAGGTCTAGGCCCTCGGCCTCATATTAGTATAAGTATAACACTGCTGCGGTGTGCAGCCCGATCCAAAAGTATCCTCACACACAGGCCCTCGGCCTTACTCAGTCAAAAATCACATAAGCCCCTCTGGCAACAGTAAAACAGCTGCTCAGCCCAAAAATAGTATAGGAAATATCATTTCAAGTGTTAAAGCAAAATAAACTTGGCTGAGTTTTGAAAACAGTAGAAAATACATGACTGAGTTCAAGTATAAAATCGAAACAGTAAGGAAATATCAACAACCATCCCCAAAGAGGTTCAAATAATTGGCACGAAGCCCAAATATGGCAATCAGCCCAAATTATGATGATAACAAATAAGTTTCAGTCAAATATGCTATAAAATCATCAATCGGGACGGACCAAGTCACGATCCCCAACAGTAAAAGACCCCTCGCTCATCATCCAGCGTGTGTCTCGCCTCAATACAACACTACGATGTGCAATCCGGGGTTTCAAACCCTCAAGATATCATTTACAATCATTACTCACCTCGAACCAGCGATATCTCTAGCTCACGAAGCCTTTGCCCCTCGAATCGGCCTCTACGCGTGTCAAATCTATCCAAAATCAGAGCGAATACATCACAATATGCTAAGGGAACAAAGCCAAGCGAAAACAATCAATAACGGGCACAAATTCCGAAATTACCAAAAACCGAGCCCCGGGCCCACTTCTCGAAACTCAGAATTTTTTACATCAACGGGTTCTTTATCTTCCCACGAGTTCATACATATCAAAGGTTCTCAAATCCGACCCCGTATGGCCTTTCAAATCCCAAATCAAAAGTCCAATTTCTCAAGCCCTAGTTCTTCAATTTTAGGCTTAATTTCCATGAATTTCTAGGTGGATTTCACAATAGAAGCGAGTTTTAAGACCAAAATTCTTACCTCAAGTCGATTCCTCTTGAATCCCTCTTTAATTTCCTTCAAAAATCTCCAAAAACGAGCAGCCATGGGTGAAAATAGACCCACATTCGCGAACAAGATGACTTTAAAAACATTCTGCCCAGGCATATTTTCCTTCATCGCGATCGCGGCAATTCCCTCGCGATCGCGAAGAACAAATTTTCAAACACCCCAAATAACTCTATGCGATCGCGTAATACCAATCGCGATCGCGATGATTCCTCAAAAATACCTTTCTCGAACGCGCACTTTCTCCTGCGAACGCATGAACAAACGCGACCTTAGACCAGTTGACCAAAAGACTCTATGCGATCGCGGCCACACGCACGCGAACGCGATACACAGCCCTCTCACACTACGCGATCGCGGGACCTACTTCGCGAACGCGAAGAACACTCAGACAGTCTCCTCAAATCCCACTACGCGATCGCGAGGCTGCCTACGCGATCGCAAAAGGCAAAACTCTGCACAGCTGAACCTGCAATTTTCTGCAATTTTTCCAACTTCAAATGATCCGAATAACCTCCCGAAACACACCCGAGGCCCTCGGGACCTCAACCAAACCTACCAACATAACCCATATCATCATTCAAACTTGCTCCAATCATCAAAACACCTCAAACAACATCAAATTACCCAAAATTCATTGAATTCAAGCCTAAGTTTTCTAAAAACTTCCGAAATACACCTTCGATCAAAAGCCCGACCAAACCACGTCCGAATGACCTGAAATTTTGCACACACATCACAAATGACATAATGAAGCTACAGCAACTCTCGGAATTCCATTCCGACCCTCGGATCAAAATCTCACCTATCAACCGGAATTCGCCAAAATACTAACTTCGCCAATTCAAGCCTACTTCTACACTGGACCTCCAAAACCAATTTCGGTCACGCTCCTAAGTCATAAATCACCCAACGAAGCTAACCAAACCATAAAAATTCTGATCCGAGCTCATATACAAATAAGTCAACTCTTGGTCAAACCTTTTAAATTCAAAGCTTTCAACTGAGACTGTTCCTTCAAATTCATACCGATTTCCGTGAAAACCAAAACCAACGATCTACATCAGTCATAATACATCATACGGGGCAAGTCATGCCCGAGAACTGGCGATCAAAGTGCAAAATCTTAAAACGACCGGTCGGGTCGTTACATAAATCCTAGAAAGAAACTGGCGATCAAAGTGCAAAATCTTAAAA